CAGACCATTGAAGAGAAAGCCTGCCTACACGATCCAAGTCTTGAAACCGAGAACTTGGAGGAATTTCTCTCTACAAGAAATTGGATGATTTGTTGACACTATCCAAGTTCTTGAATGTCATTGATTGGTTATATCAAAAACTTGCGCATGCGCATTGTTCATCGTCATTCATCATCATAATATCATACATACATGAATCTGATGCCAGCTTGTTGACGTCATAATCTGATGCCAGCTTGTTGACGTCACAAAACTTAAGAATCAGTGGTTAAGGGAGGAAAAACTTGAATGGAAAGTAGAGCATGCTCTATCATCATCCAAGAACTTGGATGATCGTTTACACAATCCAAGCTCCAAGCAAAAGTACCCATAGAGCACATTGACTTCGTTATGACATCCTAAAGTTGTCATCTTTAGGATTCTGTGACTTCCAGAGGAAGTTCTATATTTACCGCTAAATGTCCTACGGATGTCATCTGCGTGTTAGAATGTCCCACCTGCAGATATCTTAATGATGTCATAACTAGGACAGTTTCAGGATACCTTTAGAACGCTTTAGGATGGCATTAGGACATAATAAGACCTGTTTAGTAAGGATTTAGGTAACTTGTGGGATGCATGTTGGAAATGGTATGATAGTAATAGGAGGGTGTCTTATTTTGGAAATAAATTTCATCTTTGAAATTTTTATTAATTTTAGCAACTTAAATAAGGTTTTTCTTTTAAATTTACTGAATTAGAGGTCAGAAAAATGTTTTCTAAATGAAAAAAAAGGTGATAGTTTTTAATTTGTATACCACTCTATTTTTCCAGAAAAATGGGCTATTCCTCTACTATTTTTTTTAGGAAAATTAGTAAAGGAAAAGGGAGTAAAACAGTTAATAAACAAACGTATCTAAAGAAAAGAATAATGTATCATTTTAATACAAAAATATGCAAGATAATTGGATTTCACATTTCTATTGCTTGGAATAAAAACTTGGCCATTATTAAAAAGTCTAATTGAATGTACCCTTTGAACACCAAGGAAGGTTACCATTCTCCTAATTAGCGTTAGTTTTCTGTAAAGAATATTTCTTATTAAATTAAATTATGAGACTTATTGAATCTTTTATGTACATTGTAATTTATGATTGCTTCATTATTGCTCATATTGTTTAATGTAGTAGATATATTAAATATCTTATAATAAAATAATGAATAATTTTCATTTTAATGTTGCTCTAATACTGAGAACTTCGCATTAATATTTAAATTTCTCGTATGATCAATTGAAACTAGTTAATTGGCAAAATAATTCTCATTACATTCTTCTGCAAAATTTACTAAAAAACATTTTATATTATAAATAGTTTAAATGAAGTTGTGACTATTTTATCAAAAACTCAAAATAGATGTTTATGGATCACATACTTTATTGTTTAGTTATTGTGTCAATGATGCAATTTAAAAAAACAAATAAAATTAGAAAATTATCTGTTTTTATATACAAACTAAAACAGCTGTTGCCATGTTTTGCTGAAGAATTGTTAGCTGAAGGCATACTTAAATCAGTATCTTGAAAATATTAAAAATAACTTGTTTTAAGGATTTATCTATTTTTTGCAGCATAAATTTAGTGTATGCAAATAAATATGAGAATAGAAAAAAATANAACTTTGCAACTTTTTATTAATTTTAAGACAGATTGATTATGAACAATCATATAAGGAGAAAAATTGAATTCATTGCAGCAAATGCTGCAATTTACTCAGACTAGGACGGAAAAAAAAACCTGCAGCCCTTTTGCCTGGTTATTTACTTGGCTAAGTATCTCTAATTTTAAAAATCCCTATGGACCGCATTTTTTACACAAGGGAACGCTGCAAGCTCTATACGCCTATACTTCCAGGTTACTGTTTCGGGTGTATTTTAAAGCCATTTGGCTCACAACGCGATCATTGTGTTTTGAGAACTTGCAAGAGAACATTGTGATTCTTGCAAACGTGGTATTTGATTACTTATTACTTGTGTTTACAATGCTAAAGGTGCTAACACTAACGTAAGATGATGCACAGCTTGCAACAAGAACAAACAATAATAAACAAATTGAAAGAGGCCAAATCAGGATTGCCAAAAAAGGGAGTTATTCAAAATCTAGCAACCATGTCACCTTTTTCGCAATGCATCTCTAAAGAAATAAAACAAATTTTCACTTCTTACTCACCAGAATTACTTATCGTTATTATCTTATGAAATACAACAGATTTGAGCTTAAAAATTATATAATTTATTTCTTTTGTTAAAAACAAAATTATCCATTTGAGAATATCGCCTCGTAGAATAAGCTGTAGTAAGCAGTTGCAGAACTAGAGCAAGTATTGAGCAGGATATTGTTATTGTTTACATTTATATTGAAAACACCATTCATAGACAATTCATAGAAACAATTATGTAGAAAAAGGTAAAATAACAACATAGTAAATAATGAAGATGAATAGCAACATTGAAATAATTTAAAATGTCATTTCATCTGTAATTAGAATAAATGATTAATTTAGGGTTACCAAAAAACACGCCAAATAACCAGTTGAACTTAAAAGGAAGAAAATAAAAATAATAGAAAGAATGAATTATCAGAAGAAAAATCGAAATAACAAAATAATCAAAATAAAGCTTCCTCAATAATTATGAAAAAATTAAATGTAAACATTTAAATTGCAATTGAGATATTAAAGATAATGATGGGGTACAATTCTTCGAATAGATTATGAAAAATAAAAAAAATGAATAAAGAATTATTTAGATTTGAGTAGCAGAATTGCAGTGGGAAACACTCCTTTGAAGGACATTATTCCAGGAGTGCTCAGAAGGATGGGGATCGTCATATAAACAACCTCAGCAATAACATCATTTCCAATCAGGCGGGGGATGAAGTAGAATAGAAGGTTTATATCAAGAAATTTTTTTTTCTGCTAGAAACAAAATTGATCTAGCAGGGATTTCTTATATTATATTACGTGAAGTTGCATATTTGAATCTCCCAGTTGGCGGTCAAAATTCAAAGAGGGTTTCAGACCTTCCATCACTGGTATCCAAAAAATTTTACTTCTCTGCTTCAAAACATTGCACTGTTATATAAATGTACGATCATGTTCTAAAATGAATTCAAATGTTTATTAAGTGAAACCCATGAACTCAGTATCCAATGGCTCAATGATTACATCAATTAATCACAGTTACAGTTCGTAAGTTATAATTACATTATAGTTAATGTATTATCTTTCAGGTAATAAAACTCACTGCCTTTCATTTTAATGTATGCTCCTTCTCACTCGTATTACAAAATATAATTATTTTGTATTTACCTGTTCTTAAACTACTATATTTTATATCTTGGCAATAAGTGCCGTCCCACATACCTAAAGATTTCATTTTTACTTCTAAATTATTATATAAATTTAGCAAATTTCTTTAATAATTTGAAAAATCAATAAGCGATTAATATGAATATTGAACGTTAAATCTTCGCATCCAAAATTGCCAATTAACAATTCGATACTTTTTTTATAAGTCAAAACGAACCATTTAAAGCGATTCCACCAAGTAAACTCTTTAAATATGTATTTTTTTGCATCTCAGTCAAACTTTTTTTTATCTTGAATAGTGATTTGAAATTGATTTTAAGATTCAATTAATAGTGTTGTTTCACCTTGAAATTTATTTATGCTTTCGTTTTGGAAGTTTAACTGCATTACTTCACTTCACTATTTTCTTTATTGTTTTCTTTTAAAAACCTGGTGATGCGGGATTAACGCTTGATTATTGTTTCAGAATATTCTTCGATTCTATTAATTTCCGTATCAATTTCGATTAATAATTAATTGTTCAATTCACCGGTTCAGAGTAATGGCTTACTAGCAACCAGTACATAATACTTAGCAACCAGTACATAAATCTATGAGTATTACAAGCTATAGAGTTGGACTTCTATTTAACGAACTTCCATTTTACAAATTTCTCTATTTTGCGATTTTTTTTTTCGAGGAACCAAGAACATTTTGTAATTTTCTTCGTAAAATAACTTCCAAAAAACGAAGTGAATTTTCTATTTAACGAACTTTTCTTTGAAATCCACTTTCCCTATTTCCCATAATATTTCAGAACATTTCAAGCTTGTTAACGCATTTTATAGGGGAAATAACTTTGAATTATTTTCAAGGCCACTTAACGTTTAGAAAAAGCAGCAAATTCTTTGCCTTTTTCTTTGCATTTCAAAGGAAAAACTCAGACAAAACTATCGAATTTTATCCGTAGCAATTAAACTTAAGAACGCATGCGGTAATGTATGTTTAAAATTACTTTCACTTTAAATGCAGTTATAATTTTATAAATAAAATTTAGCCTTTTTTAGTTGAAAATGTATGTAATATGATAGTGTAACACTGGATAATGTTTTGCTCTATTCTTGCTTTCCATGCAGAGTTCTTTTATGGTTAAGATTTATAAAATAAATAGTAGATACTAGTTTACAAGATAAAGGTGTATCAGTTGCTATTTTAATTATGTCTAGTGAGTATGAATTTGAAACCTGTTTTCTGGTGTTTAAGGCTACACGGTACCCTTTTTTAAAAAAATTTTTTAAGGCCTGTAATATTAAAAGTAATAATAGATTTTCATTTGTATTATATTATTAAACTGATTTTCAAAAAGAAAAGGGAAATCGACAAACCACAATTTAAAAAATTTAAATTTTTTTAAAAAATTCAAGNATTTTACGAATTTTCCATATAACTAACTTGTTATCGGGATTTAGCGAATTCGTTAAATAAAGGTCCGACTGTAGTTATTTACCCGGTGAAAGCTGTAATATTGCGAAGATTCTTTAAATGATTCCAAAAATGTCAGAAAATAAAAGTTAAAAAAAAAATTTCTTGAAAGCATTATCATTCGAAATAATTTTAACGAAACATATGAGAGGAATTTATGCAATAATTCAAATAAATATTTTTATTTTCCAGATTTACATTCAAAGGACGACTGGTTGTGATCACATGCATTGTACACGTTGTAAAACAGATTTCTGTTACAAATGTGGTGAAAGATTTCGGTATTTGAAGTTCTTTGGTGATCATTATAGCAAGCTCAGTATATTTGGTTGTCGATACAGATTCAAGGCAGATCAACCATTACAGAGAAAAATGATAAGAGGGGCTTTATTTGGTAAGATTTAATTCGAATATTATTTATTTTTCTGGACGAAACAGTATTAATTCGAAATTTAAAATCAATAGAATGAAATTTTCGTAAGAAATGAATTTATCATATTTAAATACTCTAATGAGTTTAAATTTAATTTAAATTCAATTAATTACAATTACTTGTGACACCCGAACTCAGTTCGGGTAATGCAAATGCGATAATTTCGGAATGCCCGACCTGAGTTCGAGCGAAAGAAAAATCGGTGCTTCAATTCCATAAAGCCCGAATTTAGTTCGTAAAATGCATAACATGTAATTTACTATTTTTTCAATAGATGGCGACACATATTTTTAAATTTTCCTTTCGAAAAGTTCGGCCGTTTCGCGCTATTTGTCGAAAATTCAAAGGACTCTGTGGGTCATGGAATTCATGACAGTTGATATAAATAATAATATTTGTTGTATTAGATTATTATATTTATCTTGAAAATTATGTCATTTGATTTATTTTGCTATAATTTGAGCAAAAATTACTGTGATCCATTCATCTTTCCCTGTTATGTGAAAATATTGAATTGTGGTTATTTCGTTTAAAATTTTGTGTTTTACACAGTTATCTATTTCTAACATTTTCATGACAATAATGAACAACATTAAAGTGAAATTTTGTTTATTCCATTTTTGGTACGTTTTTCTCAAATATATTCCACAGGCAAGGGGCTAATGTTTCAAAGTGCCCTTACCTCAGAAACTTGTGAACCAATTTTTTTACAATACACAAGCCAATTAAAAATTTTGGGCATATTAAGGTATTTTTATTTAAGTATTTTTATAACATCTTGATGATTAAAATTTCCCAAGTTAACGGGAAATTTAATACATCTTTTACCTGTTCCTACTCCCTTGCCACACGAATTCTCTCCCTCTTCAGTGGGTGTAATCCTTAATCAATCTTCAACTGTCAAAATCGGAGAAGGAAAATCGGAGGGGTGAAGAACTAAGATGAAGCTTGGAGAGGGGTGCTAGAAGATTATCCTTCATCGCCTCTTATTTGCAAATTATTTATAACAAGCTGATTATAATGCTGATTAGTAGAAGAAAGCACGTGCTTTTTTGAAAGTTATTATCTTAAAATTTCAAAAACTTATTCTTGATTTAAGTTTAAATTATTTAATTTCAGACAATTTATAAAAAATGAAATAAAATAATTCTATATTTATCACTTAATATTGATGGTGTTTATTTAATTAAATTTATGTTATGTTATTAATGTTCAGTTATTAATTATTATTAATTTCTTATAAACATTGCGTAATGTTTCTTAAATATAAGTTCTCAAAGGTTTTAATGTTGGTTTCAATTTTTCCTTGGTTTACATTTATGCGCATTTTAATTTTTCTTAGTTATGATACTCAACTTATACCAGTTTTTTCATTATTTCGATTGTAACNATTGTCAGTAAGTGAGACCGTCTTTTTCAAGTACGCACCTATAACATCAGTAGACGTTGAAAGAAGCTTCTGCAGGAATGAAAATTTACTTTCAGACAAGAGACGCTCGTTTACATTTCAAATTATCAAAAAACATTTAATAATCCAATGTAATTCTGATATTTAGTAATATTATGAGATGGAAGTTGTTATATCCATTAAAGTTTCTATACAAAATAAAAATATTTTGGTGTCAATATATTTTCCTTTCTTTGTTATTTTAGGATATAAAACATATTTTTCAAACTTTAATGAACAAGTATTGCATTGCTTTATATTTTTTGAAATTACTTATAATAATTTTAATGAGTAAAACATTGTTTTAGTTCAATATTTTTACTTTATTTTAGTCATGTCATAAGGCATTTTCAGCGCAATTTTAGCATTTTTAAGGGCATTTTTCGCACTTTTTAAGGACATTTTTTGCACTTTTTAAGGGCATTAATTGAGATTTTTTAGGTCATCAAGATCCGGGCTCTAATTATTATTAATTCCTTATAAATATTACGTAATGATTCTTAAATATAAGTTCTCAAAGGTTTTAATGTTGGTTTCAATTTTTCGTTGGTTTACATTTATGCGCATTTTAATTTTTCTAAATTATGATACTCAACTTATACCAGTTTTCTCATTATTTCGATTGTAACTTTATGATGTTAATGTTAAGTTCTCCTGATTGTAGTTATTTAGTTTAATTTACGTACAATGTAAATTTTTATTAATTATAGTGATTTTTTATCAACATTTTGAAAAAAAAATTTAGGAAAATTTTCAATTTTTTAAATGTCAAAAGTTTTCATTATTTTGATGTCGTGTCGTTTAAACTTATTTTTTATCTCTATCATCTTTATTTATTTATTCGCTAATTTACAATTATACTACTGTTTTATTGAAAATATATTTTGTGAATATTTGGATTATATTTGATTTTTTATTATTTTTCAATCATGGCTATGCATGGAAATTTAACTGTAGCATAACTCTTATACGAATAATTTCGTAATCTCTTCTTAAAGAAGTAAATGTTAGGGAAATCTGTTAATAAATGTTAACAAAATGTATTAATAATTATAAAAAATACACATGTAAATCGAGAAAAAAAACGCATTTATATATTTATTTATTTAAATCGAAAGCCCTATCTCTTTACAGGAAGGGTTTATGAAATGAAAAATTATGCTCGGGCTTTCAATAGTTGCACAATATATACATCACAGTATATGTTATGCCCAGCGAAAGATTTTATTCTTTGCCAATTTTTCTTGCTGAAAAGCAGAAAATTAAACTTTCTTAGCCTTCACTTTAAAGATAAAAAAATTAAATATATTTTCAAAAATTTTAAATTAAAATTTAATTAAAATGAAGAGTTTCTGTGTGATGGTCTTCGTTATAACTCCAGAATCGTTTGAGCTATCGTCCTTAAATCTGGACAGTTGATGAAGAAAGCAATTTTATCCGGGTCTCAAAAGTAGTTAAAAAGTTTCAATTGCATCGTTCAGGGGAGACTTTGGAAAGTGTTGACCACTTTGCCTGCACATCAGCCTGCGAAAGGCTTGAGGATGTGCTGTATCGGTCCTCGTTAAACTGTTTTACCGTAAGGTGCTCGACTTCGCGCTCAGGTTGTCCAGCTATTGAGTCAAGGAGCCATCCCCTCTGCAGAGAATCAAAATTGCTATGACATATCTTCGGATCATCTTCAGGGATGATTCCCGACTCGTTGCCAGTAGCCCATTATGCAGCACTAGTGTGATGTTTATAAAGTACCCACTTAATTGGATAAAATAAGAGTGCAGTTATTAAAAAAAAAAATTAAATAGAAAAGAGAGGGAAACATGAATTACGTGTTTTGCACATTTAATTAACCACGGATTTGCACTTGGTAAAAAATATATTAATTAACAAAGAAATTTTTAGCAAATTTATTTACTATAATATACAATTTACTCAATAATTTTATATAGAATTTAGTTACTTTAGTTGGGTATTCATTGTCTTTTTCTTATCAAATTTTGAAACAGTTTATCTATTTCTTTCTTGCATAAATAAATACTACTACAAATTCTTTTAATTCTATTCATTTCATTAAAAGTGGTATTTATATAGATGTTCCTAGAAACATTAGAATTCCAAGTAATTAGTATATTTATATTAAAATTAAAACAATTTCTTTTATCTTATAAAGCAACAGAGCAAATATTTTCTTCTTTTATTGTACCCAAATCCAAAATATTTAAATTAATATTATCATCATGATTACGAAGCAAAAAGAATTCCTCGAGGTAAATACACTCACGTCCATAAATTAAGGATAATGAAGTTCAGGCACAGAAAGAGACAGAAGCCAAACAAATTTGACTTACTTGTAAAGTCTATGTATTAAACAAAAGGTAAAGGGCAAAAAAGATGCTGTATGTTTGACATAATTGATAAAAATTGCGATTTTTACTCCCTGGAGCAAATTTCAAAAAAGAACCTATTTACAAAAAACAGTATAACATGGTTAGNATAAAAATGCAAAAATAAGATTAAGATCAATGATTAGTGAATATGAATTTATCATTAAATTCTTCTCTCCTCTCTCTCCTCTTATAGAAATTAATTTTCTATAATATTTGAATTACCAGTAATAATATGTTGATGAACCTCTTCAGTGTGACATTCATAATCGGATATATTAATCCTCCCTAAATTTTTGCTTATATCATTATAATTAAATATTGTTCTACCAAGATATTTATTTTATTTAAAGCTTTTAATTATCTTTAAATCTTTTAAAGGAAATAAAGTTTTAAAATTTTTAAAAGTATTATGAAATTTGATCTTATCCAAAATAGTATTTTGAAAGTAAATAACGAAACATAAATTATCTGAATTTTCTTTTTATTTGGTGAAATTTTACTCATTTTGGCTTTTAAAAGATCGAAACAAAGAATTTTGAAGTGTAAATTAATAAAAGAAAAGTCAATAATAAGATCTTGAAGCTTATATACATCATAATTTTTAAGGGAGAGAACAAAATCTTTAATTCTAATATTGTATCAATATACCGAAAACAAAATAATCAATACACTAGTGTGAGGAGCACTCAATTTTTTTAAAAAAATATTTTTTCTACCTCTTTTTATTGTTCTGAAATTTTTTCCATATTTTCTCTACATTTTGATCTTATTTTATGAGTTCTATTTACTTGCAGCTTATGCGCAGTAAGTAAAACCTATTGTTTTTCTTAATGTGGTAGCGCTTCGCGCTCCCGTGCCACAGATCCTGGGTGCGATCTTTGGGCCGGGCAAAGTTGACTCAGCCTTTCATCCCTTCAGTGGGTCGATAAATGAGCACCAAGCATGCTTGGGAACTAAATACTGGGGGTTTCGCGTTCGGCTGACCTGCACCCCAGAGCCCAAGGTCAAGAAAGCTGAGATAGGCACAGTGGACCTAGGCCCTCTATGGGCTGTCGCGCCACTGAGAGAGAGAAGAAGAGTTTTTCTTAATTTTCTTCGTGTTTATTGTTTTTTGTATTTGTTTATTATGCTAC